TATTTGACCATTATACCGTGCACTTGCAGGTTTCAAAAGATCAAGTTTTTGGCGCCGTTGTCGGGACTATTGTTTTTGATAAGTTTAATTAATTTTAGATTTAATCTGAATTATACTTTTCTTTTAGTTTAGCTCATTATATTAGAAAAACTTTACAGTATTTTTTGCTTCCTTTTTCAGGACATTGTATGCAAAGTTCGAAAATTGGTAATCTTGCTCAATTTGACATCGAGATCGAACGAACATTCAACCTTCAAAAAAGACAAAAGTTGGAAACACATCAAAAACAGAAAATGGAAGACATGGCAGAGGAAAATCCAAATCAAATAGTCATCAGGACTAATCTGGAAGCAGCACAACCGATTGTGGTTGTACCTATGAAAATGCAAGGCTAATGGAGGAGTACATGGTTCCACCGATTGTGGAAAGTCGATCTAGCATAGTATATCCGGCGTTTGGTCGAGTAAACTTCCATATGAGGATTGATGTGATCAACATGTTACAAAACGCGCTACAATTCTTTGGGAGAGCTACGGAGAATCCCAACGCTCATATATCAAGATTTCTGGATATGTGTGCAACTATCGAGTATCTAAAGGTGTCTAGTAAAGCAATCAAACTGGGGCTTTTCTCATGTACATTGAGAGACTCAACCAGAGAGTGATTAGACATTTGTCCACCTCCGAGCATTACTGCATGGAACTAAATTAGTCAAATATTCCTTAACAAATATTTTCCGTCGAAAAGGATTGCAAAGTTAAGGGACGAGATTACGACATTCCAACAACTTGACTCAGAATGCTATTCAGAGGCTTGGAAACAATACAAGGGTTTATTCCGCTAATGCCTACAACACGGATTGTAGAAATGGCTTCAGGTGCAGTACTTCCACATTGGTCTGAATTCGATAAGCAAGGCTAACGTAGACTCGGCATATGATGGTTCTATCACAAAAAGAACCACGGATCAAGTCTACCAAATCATGGAGGATCTGACATTTGCCAGTGCACTATGGCATACTGAAAGGACTAGTGGAACAGAGTTGTTGGGGTATTCGAAGTTGATTCTTTGATAGCAATTTTAGCACAGTTGGCATCATTGGCACAAAAGGTGGATCAAATGAACGCATCCTAGACAATAGGACCAAAATGCAAATATTTTGGAGGGAACCACGAGATTGTTGTTTGTAATGTAAGGTCTCCTTTTGTTCAGACAGTGAAGGATGTGAACTACACTCAGAATTTTCAAAGGCAAAAATACAACACAAATCCTAACACATATTACCCAGGCTAGAGAAATCACCCAAGTTTTCAGTGGAGTAATAACCAGGGTAATCAGATCGCGCCACAGTAAACTGCACCTCCAGAATTTCGGCGAACTGAAAATCAATTTTCGTTGGAAGATCTTGTTACTAAATTGGTCGAGATATCTACACAACATATGGAAAGAATAGATAAAACCTTGCAAGTTCAGGGAACTGCCATCAAGAACTTGAAAAATTAGATGAGACAAATAGCGAAAGCACTTTCAGAGAGACTAACAGGAGCATTGCCCAGTGACGCTGAGAAAAATCCCAAACAGTAGGTAATGGTAGTGAAGGTTGTAGAGGAATAACATATTGAGGCCATAACTACCCGCAGTGGAGTTCAACTGCCAGAAATTAATGTAAAGAGATCCGTTGCTACAAAAGAAAATGTACATATCATGGTTGAGGAACAATTGGAGGAATCTACGTAAAACAAATAAGCAGGGACAGAAAGACCATCAGATGATCCAAAGGTTAAGGAAACCTCTCTTACTAAATAATTTGTGCCACCACTACCTTTTCCATAAAGACTGCAAAAGAGAAAACTCGATGATCAATTCGAGAAATTTCTGAATATGCTGAAAAAGCTCCACATCAAGATCTCATTCATCAATGCAATCTGACAGATCCCGATGTATGAAAAGTTCCTGAAGGACATGCTATCTAAGAAAAGAAAGCTTCCAGACTTGGAATAAGTGGCATTGACCGAGGAGAGCATTGCAAGGCTGCAAAATAAATTGCCACCAAAACTCAAGGAGCCAGGGAGTTTCACTTTACCTATTTCATTTGGCAAAGAATTTAAGTTTAATGCTTT